GTAAAATTCACTGTCAAGCCTTTTTTTTGGGTAGTTACAGTGAAATCAATTTGTCATAGTGAATTAAAATACTGTTTAAGAATGGAAGAAACCACTTGATCACCTACCAAAAGGCATCATATTCCACTCTGCTGCTTATGTGCAGAAATCAATAACACCTTTTACTATAGCATATTTTCTACAAAGACCCAAGCCTTGTGTCAAATGCACCAGGAGAAAAAACATACTTCCCCGGGTAGAATAACTCCAACTGCTAATTAACTCTTGCCTGTCTTTAGATTACAGCTATTTGCTTACTTTTTCTTTCCTTTATTTCATTTCTCTCTTCTGAAATGAAATGCTCAAAATGACTAGCCCAAATGAAAGCTAGAATTGTATCTTAACAGACAATATTATCAGTGCATTAAAAAAAAAAAAATTAAAAAATTTAGGATCTTTAAGCAAATCACTTCTCTATCTTATTTTTGATAAACTATGCTAAAGGAGCCCTGATGGTGCCTTTATAAGGACTTCACTGCCAATCTCCAAGATTAATTCTTCTATGCTCGCTTTCTGAATTCTCTATGTCTCCCTACACTCTTTCAAACTTCAAAATGTGGACAAAAAGGTTTTACTATTATTGTAGCATCAATCTCATCAATTTTGAATGAATAGTCAAAATCACCTCTTTGCATCATTTTGTACTTTAAGTTCAAATAAAAATCACCTTAGCAGTCTTAAAAAGCTTCTCTACCAGGATCAGCAGATAACTCAGAGTCAGTTTTCCAGGATATTAGTCCCCATTACACAGACATGCCTAGCATTTGGCTTCATTAAAATACCCTTCACTTAGAATGGATTCAGCTTTTCAAGTGATCTAACTCAGTCCTTAGGAGTGGTCTTACATATCACATTTCAGCACTTGTCTTATTTTTTCATCAGCAAAGTTATGTTTACTTCAGTGTCACTCATGAAGATAATTAAAAGGAAGGGTTGAAACCCAGCTGAAATTCACAAAAGCTCTTCATTTTGATGTTTCACTGTTAATGACTGCTTTTTTTCAGCTAAAATTTCTTAGTAAATTAGCTTTTAGATCAGCTTTAGGAGTATGGTATATTGTTGATCTCACCAATCCTAACAGGAGCAATGTCACATTCGGTCCAGTGTGGTTCAAAATGGCTAACAACAGCTGCTCCAGAGAAAGGATTAAGCAGTGTTAAAAAGTAGTTATGCACCAAACTGCTTCCATACCCACACTTTCAGAAGTTAACTTATCCAAGAAGTTCAAAGGCATATAAGTTTTAATAACACTTCTGTTACTATAGCTCTTCATATTATACATACATTAATAACCATTCCTTGGCTTTTTTTAAACACATTGCAATACTCTTAGTCTCGGTAACATTATATGGCAAGAAATTTCAAATGTTTTGTACTACTGTGTGCAAAAATATAATGAATCAATTTTGAATTTTCTACAGTTTAGTTCCACTATACCTCAGGGGTTCCAACTGTTGTTTACTGCCAGAAGGGACTAGATCCAAAGTTGGTGTCTCCCAGAAATTTCTAACACAATAAATGCTACAAAATGAAATAATTTGGCTCTTCAGAAAAACATCTGGTATTTTAATTCAACAATATTAGTCCCTGAAGGAGCCAATGAAACCACTCACTAGCCTATTACCTGCTTTTGCATATGTTCAGATTATTTTGTCATTATCCATGGTTAGCTACTCATCTCTTGGACTTGGTCTTAGCTCTCCTGATTATTTCTGTATATATACTGCCTGCTGTGGATAATGATAATTTTATTGGCCTCCATAGACTTGGTGTCTCCATTTTCTCTAGGCTATTTGGCTTCAGTTGTCTTGTCACTGCAAGCTCAGTCTAACCATTTCTCTGTATGGTCTGTATACATCTACAAAACAATAACTATCTATCATGTGTTCCAACTGTGTAGGAATTAATAATGCATGACTGTATTATAAATATGCATGTACTATGTCTGCACACAGAGTTAACCATGACTTAAAACTAAAATTTTAACTGTTGTCACAAAAACGTGAGTTTTATTCTAAGGATTTTTTTAATTGGAATAAAACTAGAAATTTTGAGAAAACCATCCACAAAGGAAACAAACCACTAGATATTACAGTGTGCTTTGCATCTTTAAAATTACCAATATTAAAACTGTTGCAATTAATTTAATTAATGGACTGCTACTCACCTCTAACATTTGCATTTAGAAATTTTCAAATAATTCTGAGTTTATTTCAAATTATTTTCATTGCTGACCTTAAGCAGCAGCCAAGCACCAAAGAGCTGCTCACCCATACTACCCCTTCGCCAGCAGGATGCGGAAGAGAATAGGAAAAGAGAAAGTGAGAAAAATCATGTGTCAGAATACAGGCAGTTTAAGCAGTAAAGGAAAAAGAAAGAAGAATAAACGCAAAACAAACAAACCAACTGAAAACCAAAGATATTCAACCCAGATAATGCAAAGGTAATCACTCACCACCTCCCACAGGTAGACATGGTCAGCCACTGGTAGCAACAGCTACCTCCTCAAAAAAGCTTTTATTGCCAAGCATGGCACTCTGACGTTGAATAACTCTCTGGTAAATCTAGTTCATCTGTCCAGGTCGTGTCACCTCACACCCTCACATCCTCAGCTTAGAGCAGGGAAGTGGGAAAAGAGAGAGCCTTGGCACCACAAATACTAATCAGTGATAGCCAAAACACTGGTGTGTTATCAACACTGTTTCAGTCACAAATCCAAAACGCAGCACTGTGGAGGCTGCTATGAAATTTAACTTAATTTCAATCAGATGCAGTACACTAAAACACTGTAAAACATAACTAGAAATTAGCTCAGCTCAGAGTTCAGTGATATACTGTCATATTTTGCTGAAATAACGTCTCTTGCATGTTTTTGTCATTGGTTGTCAACCTAAATTCTGTGCTGATTTTCTGCCATTTTGTTTAAGAAGAGACATACATACCTCTGCTACACCTCCTAGTCCTAATCTCTTAGACATTAGACAACATTTTGGTTTCTGCACAATCCTGACACCTCAAGGGCTCAGAAGCAGTAAAGGATAGGCAGCACTCCTGCTTGAGCTCAGATCTGTGCTTTGTGAAAGCATTTCTCTAGTCCAAATTCTTTTACAACTCAAATACCAGCATCCTGTGATCTCTTCAATAATCCCAGCTGCTTGCTCTAGGGGGTTTTGATAATTCATTTGACTACTTTGACAACAGAAAGTCTGACTGCCTTTGAACCTGCTTTCAAAGACAAAGTTATACAAGTCAAGCTATTGCCCATGGAATATTCAGGTTAACTTTGACAATGATGGATACCTTTCATGACCATTTCCCAGATCCCTTATGCCTACACTTCACAATTGTCCTTAATGATGAATGACAGTCATCTGCAATGAATGATAATTTTCAAGTAGTCTCATCCCCAAAGAAATGGCATTATCATCACATATTCTTGCTATAATTTATCAAGCTGAAAAATATAGAGTCTCTGATTACTCAATTCTTTATTAATGTAATAACTTGAATAAATACTACTTTATACATTTTGAGATGCAGATGGGAAAGTATATCAAGTTCTTAGGTAGAATATACTGTCTTCATTACTTTAGGAACTGTAAATCTTACTCTTTAATGAAAATGTAATGTGGAGAAGACAAATTGTTAGAATTTGAAGCTAATTCAGATGTCCTAGCTGAGTCTTGAAGAAATACACTGTTAAAAAATAAGGGATATTCAAAACTGTGTTTTGAATAGAAGTCTCATTCTCACCACTGACAGAAGCGGCAATTTTATTTGCTTAGTGAGGTCATTTGAATTTTTATACACTTACATCTTCACTGATTCAAGAGGGACTGGAATAGCCCAGCAAACAGACCCTTGGAAAAAGTCATCAATTCAAGCTTTCACTTTGTGAGAAAATGTCTCACCTTAGGCCACCATTATTGGCAATGATTACTTATTACTGGCAGATCCAATTGAATTTATCTTAAAAAATGAAGAAAGCTTGGCTGAAAATTGTTATTTCTATCACAGTAACATTAAAGGTCCACAGATCAGGACTTCCCTATGCCTGTACTTTATAGAAACAAAATGAAAAGTACTTCACATAGAACAAATTGTTTAACATCTAACCAAGGAAAACTGTGATCTAAATGTCAATCTTCAAATAGAAAGAAACATGATAAGTATATGAAAATCCCAGAACCAATGTGAAAACATTCATCAGCTTGATGGGCACTGATATTAGAGAACTTGAGTCTCGGATTTTGTAATGGTATCATCTTATAATCATAAGTGATGATTAGAAGTAATTCTAATAATTACTTCTATTAATAATAATTAGTAATAAGAAGAAGTAATTCTTCTTATGAAAAGAATTTTTAAATGAGAAACATTTTCCTGAGTTTTCAGAAGTGTTCACAAGGACCTCCTCCCAGGCTTGCAAGGCAGATAAAGTACGAAGGATTTTTCTTTAAAGCTAGATGTAAAAGAACTTAAAATAACATGCCACTTAAGAAGATGAATGATCTACTACAAGGGGAACCAGCTTTTCTTTTTTTCTTTTGAATTGTACATGGATGAACATGAATTTACTTTTCTAATAGCTTAGAGATTTTATATCTGTGGTATATGTCTCTAATATTTATCCATTTTCAGTATGAGACAAGGATAATTAGTTTCCAGGGACTGGTACGAAGCAGTAAGCAAGTGCTGCTGCAGTGAGAGAATGGTTGTGTGCACATGTACACAGAAGGATGGGAAGATGACTGTGAAGTGATAGAGGTAAATCACAGCAGACATATAAAAAGCTATGATCCAAGGCTGACACACAAAAAAGGAATTACCAGATGGTAGCAAGCAGTATTCTCCATTTGCTTGTGAATTCCTCAACTTTGGGAACTTCATGCATGCTTTCATTTGTATTCTTGATCTTTATAAATCTAGTTGCTTCAGAAGGCACGTCATATTTTACTTACAGACTGATTCAGCAGCATTTGTATGGTCCAGGTGTGCTGCCTGTGGAACACAGGCCATCTTCTCAGAGTCCTGAAGCAGCTTCAGAAAAACCTTTAATGAAAACAGAAAAAAGTAATTTAGAATCCATTTTCTAAAATTATTATTTATATATATATATATATGAAATATATATCATATATATGCATGTATGTGTGTATATGTATATAGGTGTGTGTATATATATGTGTGTGTGTGTGTGTGTGTGTGTGTGTGTGTGTGTGTATCTCCTAAACCATCCAGACTGTCAGAAATTACTACTGACTGCTGTAACCACCTTGCTGGAATATGGCTATAAAATCAGTCAAGCTCTCTGGTGAAAATTTTGGGGATAAGTGAAATGAAACATGTGTCAATAGATAGAAAAGCACCTATGCAAAACATTGCTGTCCAATGAACAATACTACCTGCAAAGATTTTTTCAATAGACTGTCTGCTCTTGATGAACTTTTTATGCTCCTAAGCCATGGTATGTGTTGGAACTCAATTACTTCAGTTTTTAGCAAGGGAACAGCTTAACTCTTCTGATGCTCCAGCTAGAAATCTATGGGCACAACTAGAAATGTCACCAAAGAGTTCTAGCTGTACTAGTACAGCTAAATCTAATGTACAAAATCCTACAGAACTGAGAACCTTCAGATTTCAGGGAATTCACTGTGTGAACTAGAGACACTCAGGAAAAGTTCCTAGATATGCGCAAGCACATGAACTATAAGGTTACTGAAAGACATTTAAAGGACAAAGCAATCACCAGAGACAGCCAAGGTGAAAAAAGTCTTGTAAAACTAATACTACAGAGTAGATTGGGCAACAATGTGTGTTTTGTAGCAAAACGTTAGTGTGCATAACCCAAATTGGGGAGAGATAGGATCCTGTTACATAAAATCACCATGAGAAAAACTGAAATAATTTTTTTATAAAAGCAACAATCTAAAAATATGCACCAGTTTGAAATTGAAAGGATTGAATTTTCTTAAGTAGGGGAACATATGTCAGAAGGGACTTATAGTTAAAACTATAAAAACCCAGCAGAATTCACCATCATGAGGTCTATTGAAATGGTATATACACTTTGCCAAACAGCTTTGTGTTCAACCTGCTAGTTCTTGCTTAAACCTGTTTCACAGTTCTGTCCACATAAACCCCTTTGAATTTCACAGACATGTATTTAATTTTCCTGTAACTCAACCTTGCAGAAGCTTGGAACAGCTTTTATAGTGAGCATTATTCACATACTCACCACTTCTTGTAAGCTCAAACTAAAAACACAATTAACATTTTCTTATCTTAATCTGAACTTCAGTTTAAACAGTGATCTAAGAACCTCAGATAAAAGAAAAAAGAAAATAAAAATTAACAGAAAATACAGGTACTGTGAGCATCTCTAATTAAACAGAAAAAGAACAACCAAATTTTTCTTTGTCTTGATGAAAGTTTTCTTTTACCTCTGTTTGGGTTGAACTGCAGGACAGATTATACCCACAGTGCAACTTTCAGAAATCATTAAGAAACCTTTTATTTCTTCCCATAAAAGAACCTGATATCAACTATAACAAAAAGTTCCTTGTTTCCAAGGAACTCATACAATACTCAATAACAAACAGTCAATGTGAAGTATTTCATAGATCTTGAAAGATATTTCTTGACTTTCTAAGGTCTGACAGTTACAAAAGCCATATTTTGCTTAGTCAATACAATTGCCGTTTAATAGTGGTTATTGATTACATTTGTTACCTGCCAACTTTCAGGGAACAAGTTTAGCCATTAACAACTTCAAGGCCAGAAATTTCTGGCCTGATATTTCTGTATTAGATCCTGGAGGCAGATCCTGACAGTCTAAAGCCACATTTTAGTTTGTTTTCTTGGACCTTCTTGCTGATGGCTCTGAACACCAATTCTGTAAAGAAAACCAAACTAACCTGTAACAACTGAATCGTACAATCACTGAATGTCCTGGGTTTGAAGGGACCTTTAATATCATCTAGTTTCAGCCCCTCAGCCATGGACAAGAACACCTTCCACTGGACCAAATTCCTCAGAACTACATACAGCCTAGTCTTGAATGCTTTCAAGGATGGGACATCCACAGCTTCTCTGGACAACCAGATACAGCGCCTCACCACTCTCACAAAATAGAATTTCTTCCTAGTGTCTAATTTAAACCTACTCCCTCTTGTCCTGTCACTGCATGCTCTTGTAAAAGGTCCCTCTCTGTCTCACAGGCTTCCTTCAGGTACTAGAAGGTCAGAATTATGTCACCTCAAAGCCTTCCCCTCTTTCAGCTGAACAATCCTATCTCTCTCAGCCTTTTCTCATGGGAGAGGTTCTCCATCTCTCTGTTCACCTTGGTGGCCTCCTCTGGACTCACTCCAACAGGTCCCTGTCCCTTGTATGCTGGGGATCCCAGAGCTGGACCCAGCACTGCAGGTGGGGGCTCAACTGAACAGAGCAAAGCAGAGGGGCAGAATCCCCTCCCTCACCCTTGCTGGCCACACTGCTTTGGGTACAGCTCAGGAGATATTTGGTTTTCTGGACTGTGTCCACTGCTGGGTCATGTCCAGCCTCTCATCCACCAGCACTCCCAAGTCCTTCTGGTCAGGGCTGCTCTCGATCTGTTCATCCCCCAGGCTGTGTTGATACTGGGGGTTGCCCAGACCCAGGTGCAGCAATACCAGTACTTGGTATTGCTCAGCTTCATGAGATTCCCATGGGCCCAATTCTTGATCCTGTCTAGCTCCCTATGGATGCTAGCTTTGGAGCAGGCTGCAGGCCCCATGGCCTCTTAGTCCTGCCTGAGAAGCTGGCCTGGGAAATTCACAGGAGGATTTCAAAACAATCCTCAGAAACAGAAAACAACTGCCAGGTGCTGTTTGTCTGTCCTCTTGTTTTCCTTGCAGGAGAAAGTCAGGGGGTGGTGAACCCCACTGACCAATGATGGTGATGTAGTGATTTACTAACCAATAAGAGTTTCCTTTCTGTACTTTCCACGAACTAATCTATACAACAAGCCTAGAACAATAAACTAGAAGATTTCTCCTATTGTGACTCCCTTGAGAGTCTGTGTCGTTCTTTCCCGCCGTTCCCAATTAGAATGACAGCTCCCTCCAGACAGCATCCTGTCCTTCAGGTGTGTCAACCATTTGGTGAGACCACAAAGTACACCTCTGTGGCTAGGACAATGCCTACACTACAAAACATTGTCTGCACATACTTCAGTGTCAAAATAGCTGCAGACACATTTTCTTATTTCATCTCATTAACTCACTATAGAGACGATGTAGCTATACCTTTAAAAAAAAGAAACATCCACCAAATGGTTTTCTAATGCATCTGTCACGATCCACAAGGTGGGATTCGTGATGTGGTTCTTTTATTTGATCTTAGAGTACAAAAGATTATAAGCAAACCAGGGACTTAAACAGCAAAACACACTTTATTGAGTGCTCATCAGCACTAATATGCGATAGAGGGAAAAGAGGAGAAAGCAAAGCATAAGGAAAAGAGAGTAAGGGGATTATAGCTACCAACGTCAAAGTCCACTCAGCCGTCCAACAACACAGTCTCTTCTGTCTGTTGGGGAGATCTCAAAGGAAGGAAAATTTGGGGTGTAATTCTATAGTCTTCTACAAAGCGAGGGGCACAAGGCCAAAAACAGGAGATGGATGATCATTGTGATGTATTCCATTACACAGGGGGCAGGTGTAGGGTACAGACCCAACCACGTCTTGCAAGTCTTTGTTCACCAACAGGAACAAGGGCAATGTGTCGTGGAAACCCATTGTGCAGGATACAACACACAAGCATTTGCACACCAGCAGGAACAAGGGCAGTGTACCGTGCAACCACCTGCAAACAATCACTTAGCAAACATCCACCTCAGCTAGGCCCAAACCCCTAAACCAAGTCCCTTGTGGTATTCAGGGTCTCTGTCTCTGTCCTTGAGACAGTTGTGAGACCGATGAAAGAATCTTTGGACCATATCTTACAACATCTTATGCCTATTGTAGCTTCATTGACATGTATTCTGATACAGCTATAAAGGCAGAAAGCCACCTGCATTGCCCAGTCCTCCCCATGGTATCCAGTTTTCAAACATCCTCTTAAGAATGGGAATCATTAGGGACTACATTGTACAGAAGGTATGATAATTTACCTGGTGTTGTACCAGATATTGTAGACAGAAGTAGTATTAACCTAACAATGTTATTAACAGAGTGAGCACCCTCTGAAACACACAGTTATGGAAAAGTCAGGTTTAGGCACCATGACAAAGAAACAGTATATTCTTGCTGTATCTAAATGATGGTGTATTCTAGACCTCAGCAGAGCATCCTTTTCCCCACATGCTGTAGCAATTCCTGCTTGCTCAGTTAGTCAGAACATGGTGTTAATAACAGCAAGGTTGTGGGTTCAATCCCCATATGGATCATTCACTTAAGACCTGGACTTGATGACCATTTTGGGTCCCTTCCAACTCAGAATATTCTGTGAGATTCTGTAATTCTGTGAAATTGTGTTTAATTTCTGTTTTGACTAGCAAGTCTATATCTGACTTGTCCAGATGGCTATTAAGAAAGACTGTGCATCTGGTGTTTCTTTCAAACCACCAAGTTCTCAATAGATATAGGAAGTGCTTTTTTGTCCTTGAGCAAACAAGTATGGCCAAATGACAATACTACAGTTAAAGAAATCAATATGATTGTGCCATCATTAGAAGTTGTTGGAGCACTCTGCATCTCACTAGAAGATGCACATCATTTCAAGGAGGTATATAGCTTTCCCTGGAAGGTTTTGATGCAAAATTTCAAGTCATTTCAAGGAAAAGAATTTAAAAGCAGTACTCAATTAACAAATTTTGACACATCTTATTTTGAAAAGATGTTAAAATCATTTTGTTCTCTCCTCAAAGTAAAGCAAGAAAGCAATAAGCTTTGAAATCTTCAGAGCTACCAGAAAGTGAAACAGCATCCTCCAGAGAACTCTTAGTATATGCTTAATTTATTTAACTACCTGTCTGTTCTCCTTTTGGTTCTACCAACACTTTGGATTACAAGTATAAAATACGCAAATACAAATGGTTGGAAAAGATATATAAAGCCTAAATTTGAGCAAATGTAGTATTAATGAGATTTAAAGGTGTCAGAAACTGATTTGTTAGAACTTTAAGATTCCTTTGCAATATGAATGGAAGTCCATTTCCCCTCAGTTAAGACAATTTTTAAAGAGTGTTAGTGTCCCTCAGAATGAAAAAAAAATAATGATGAGTGTATAGGAGAACAAAAAGAAAGGATATAAAAAAATTATAACACATTTCCTCCTTTAAGGCTGGGGTTCTTTGTTTCCAGATTTAATTGCTTGAATAGAACAAATAGTGCTATTATGTGCTATCCTTTTAGTTCCCAATGCAAAAAGGCTTTTGATAAGAGAATAGAGAATTGAGGTTGTAACGACAACTAATGATGTCATACAGAGATGACAGAAATCGACCCAAATTACTGCATTAAATTTTCAAGCTGAAGAATGATACATTAATATGTAATACCACATTTAAAGATGTTTTTAAACTCCCCCTTCACAGAACAGCTAAAAGCAAGCTCTTAACTGAATCACAGATTCATCTCATTGAGGAATCCTCCTCATATCCATGACAACTTTACATTTACTTTATACATGCCTGTTCTGCAAAGTCCTGTGTTATCCCATGCTGATGTAACCCAAAAGTATTCTCAATATATACATTACCTCCAAATCTATAATATTTGGCAGTGAACAATATTATTCCTTATACCATATTAATGATCTTATATAAGAAAATCAAAAACTTTTCAATAAATTTTTGACTTGCCTCATAAAATCTTATCTCAGGAATGGAATTTTTTTTCATAGCATCAAATAAAATGTTTATTAAACTTGTAAACTATGTATGATAGGAGACATGATGATAGTCTCCTATCATTACTTGAAGTGAAAAAATTATTTCTAAAAGATCTTACAGTACAGTACTTGGATAGTGATGGTTTAGGGAATCTTGTTATTTAGAAATTATAGATGGGGTAAAAAGAGTCCAAGGGAACTAACCTCTTGTTGACATGGCTGTTTACAAATAGCTAAATTCAGAATGATGAAGATGTATAACAGAGTCTCTTCCTCTGTGTGTATACATGTACATACATGTGTGCATATATGTTCATATATACATATATCAAATACTTTCTCTTTTGGTATACACAGAAAATATTCTTTAGATATTTCATCACACAATTTGACTAAGTCCTAAGCTTCAGAACTAGTAAGTTGGAAAGCATTCTTTGCAAATTTTTTTCTGTCGAAAGAGCCACCTGAGCTGAACCACCAAACTTGAAAGTTCAAAGCTTCTTCCAATGCTATTGGTTTAGGACTCTCATAAAGTCAACGACACATTACATTTCCCTTAAGTTAATGCAGAAATAAACATTTAAGTGTTACATAGTTCATCAGTCTTCACATTTGATTCTTGAAATAAAAAATATGTCATAGTAAAGTGGGCGCTGAAATTAACAGCAGAGTAAAACTACAAAGTATAGATTTGGAAGGGTTTGTTTGTTTGTTTGCTTGCTTTTTTTTTTCCTTTTTTGAAAACATGCTTCTCGCAATAAATTGTGCTATATAAAAGATTCTTTAACCAAGAAAATGACATTAGACAGGAAAATTACAAGTACCTCTTCCAAGGTTGTGTCAGAAATACCATAGCCAGTCACATGTAGATGCTGCAGGCTTTGATCTAAAGCTTGAAAAAGACCTTTAAAAGCAGTCTTATCTGCCCTTTCTGGGATCACATAGGTCAGCTCAGTCCCACTGTTCTCTTTCAAGAAGGCTTCTGGAATATAGTTCTGTACCAGAGATGTGACCTGAGCAGTGTGCTTAGCGTCTTTGATTTCAAACACAGAGGGCTATGAAGAAAGAAAGATAATCACGGAGAAAAAAAAAAATATTACCAGAAATATTAGTCTTGATATTAGAATTCATGCAGGAAAAATTCCACTGATGGAACTGCATCACAGCTGGGATACAGAGACTACCTCCCAGGAATAAAGGACAGTGAGATAAACCCCTTTTCATCTAAACACTGATATTCACCGTTTTCAAAGATGCCATTCATCTAAATAGCAATAATAATACCACACACTCAGAACAAACAAGAAAGCCAATATAAACATGTTTTTTTGGTTCTCTAGTTATCTATGTCACATATTATTTCCTGTCAGGGACATACATCTCCCTTAAAATATACTTGGCAGGCACTCTCCAGTTCAGTACAGTAAACTTTTAACATACATTTTTTATGAATGTTAGACTGTGTCCCTGGCCATATGTCTCCCTCAGACAAGAGGGAGAGCCACAGCACCTCAGATGACCATGTTGCAGAATGGCTATGTGATCACTGAGCACCTCGGCCTCATCAAGATGGTGAGTGGTAAAGATGAGTGTGCAACCTGCATGAGAAAACTGGTACATGTCTACAAAACCTGGTTTCCAGAGAAACCCCTCACAAGGATCCCTTAGCCTTAAGGAAACATGTTTTCAGGACTCTTCAAAATCTTAATTACATGCCACAGACAAAATCTGCTATCAGAATTACAAATTAAATTAGATTCACTTCTAAACTTGCTTCGCCCTGTTTTATCCATAGCAAACAGTATTAAGGCTTTAGAACCTCTAGCTGTTTTAAAAGCTTAAGAAATTCCTCAAAAAACAACATAACATCAGTGTTTCTTTCAGTGGATCATTCAATGTTACTTATTACAGCTAATTGAGTGCTCACTAGATGAAGACTTTGCTTCCCACAATCAATTTAAGAAGTAGTGTAGCAGACTGATTGTTGAGTATATATATATTATAATATACACTACAACTATATAAGCAGCTATATACAAATGTATGCAAAATGGGAAATGGAAACCAGAAAGTAGTTTTGAGAAGCTGAAGAGAGGGGAGAAACTTCATGTCAGGACTTAGAACTAAGCTCAATGTTTTTTTTTAGATTGAGCATCTTTCTGTAAAATAGCAGATAATTCTTGTAATGCCATTTGACTCGCCTTAAAAATACCCAGTTCAGCTTAATGTTTCCTCAGAAATTAATGTATTTAGCTTCTAATAATATTTTGACTACACTTTGACTATCCGGTTTAAATTTATTGGGAAAAAAAAAAAAAACAGAAAAGAAAATAAGAAGCAAATTATGCGCATAAACTTTGTACCGGCTTTGTACTTCAGAAGAATATCCCAGATACTACGGCGAGAACATGGGTCTACTCCGGTGGTGGGCTCATCCAGGACAACTGTCTTTGAGTTTCCAATAAAGGAAATGGCAACTGATAGCCTCCTTTTCATTCCCCCAGAAAGGGCTCCAACAGGTTCATACTGATGTTGGGATAAACCCACATCTTCCAGAGATCTGAAATAGGAGTACAGAAACAGGACCAATTTTGAAAATGTTTTTCTAGTCACATTCTGTCCACTCAGAGAAGAACTACTGAAAAGTCACTGTAAATGGAAAGTGATAAAATCACTAACTCTGACTGATTATATACTTTGGTGTCAAAAACAAATAGGAAAATAAATATTTCTACCTACAAAGCATAAATGCTTATCATCATCAGATGCACAGATTCTAAATAAGTATTGTAAAGAAAATTTTAAATTAAAGCTAATAAAACAAATATTAGTTTGTCCAACAACTTCAGTAAACTCCAGATTATAGCCCCTTTAAACAGTGATAAAGACTGCTGGTTTCATAACTCAAGCAGTGCTTCAGGTTTTGCAAACTACTTAAAGAACACTGGAAATGCCTGAGATTTTAGGAAATGTGTAGTCATTTGCAGTAAAGAAGGTAACACCACTCTTTTTTTTGCTTTTTGAAGACATTTATTTGTAAAATAAACTGATTAGCAATCCCTGAATATAATAATATTATCTAATCAAATCTAATATAATTCCAGTGTGTTAAGGACTGGGAGATATCTTATAGATGTTTCCAATTCAGCCCTTGCCCTCTGATGCGGATCTTGCATCTGAGCATGGTATGGAAACATGATTAATAAAGGCAATACTATAAGGCCTTAAACTTACTTTTCATCACACTGAGCATCCAGTCACTGACCTAAGAGCTTTCAGCTACGATTAGCTTGGCAAGAAATACATGGAAGGCTCAACAGTCTTAAGGTAAACTCCTGAATCATTCGATAAACATGCAGTCTGTAAACCATGTCATTTACTGGAGAGAATTTCTCATTTTTAAGAAAACAGGTTTCAATAGCAGTTCTATAGATATATAATGAAGAAAATTATTCTTAATCTCTTTAGAAGCCCGCTTTTTTTTAATAAAAAGCTTTTGTTTTATTATTTTTTTCTTTTCTAATTTCTCTGAAGTCTTTTAAAGCATTTGTTGCCTCTAAAAATATTTTTTCATAGTAGCAAGGCCTGCAGAGTTCTGACTGTTCTTATTAGTTCCATTAGTATGACAGACTGCTGCTAGAATTACAATTCAGAAATCTAAGTACTATAAGATACAGAATATTATTTTGCATCAATTTTAAAACATTTACTAAGTTTGTTTTGTCTCTGTAGTTCTAGAGTTTGTTCAGATCAAAATTTAAAAGTAACAGGCTTTTATGATAGCTACCAAAAAAGGAAAGCCACTTTACCACAAATGCCTCCGCATATGCCTGATTGTACACTTAGGGAGAAGTCCCATGAACTTGATGTTTCCCTTGAAGCATGGAGATGCCCAGCCCTTCACAGAGTCTAGTATGACTCAGAAGGTAAACAAAAACTATTTACACTGCCTCACTGTTTGAAAAGCATGTCTTTTACTCCTGAGTGGAATAAATGCAGTTTGCTATTAATGAACCAGATCTCAGCTTGTACAGTTTACTAGTTAATTTAATATACAGTAACCAAAAATAAGATCTACTCCTATAGCAAAGAAGTATCAGCACAAAAACACTAGCAAATTTCTTTAACCTGACAAATGGCAAATCCTCTGACTACATTTCAGAACTCTTGTTTTTCCTACTGGATTTTTAATTTTTAAACCTCTTCATTTGTTAAAAACATTTGAAGGCTGAATTTGGCAAAGGAAAATGAGGTGGCCTATTTAAAAAATTGTAACAAGTACTGCCTTTGCCTGGATTTTCTGGTTTTCTAACCTTCCTTCCACTGCAGGTAGAGGGAATGGAGGATAATTAATACATAAATATATTTTGTTGATTTATCTAAAAAACAGCAGGTTTTTTTCTATCTGCTCTTCCAGCAAGGATAGAGGTAAGATGTTGCAATCCTTCTCCCTGATGGGACCCCTCTGTCCCACCCCCCGTGGTGAGAGCCTGCTCGTCTCAGGGCACAGGCGGCGGAGGGGGTCCTGGAGTGGATACAACACGGACTCAAAGTATCTAGACACAGGAGGCTCAAACTTGCTGGAGTAATCCCAGGTTTATTGTCTGTCGTCCATCCGGGGCAAGAGAGAGCACGAAATGCTCTGGGTCTCATCTCTTATACCAGGGGGCAGGGGTGATTAGGGGATGCAGGGAGGTCACAGCCAATGGGAAGGGGGAAGGGAAAGAAGGTTTTCAGGTAGGAACTCACATTACACAAACCAGAGGTGAGTTTTACCCTTGGGAGGTACCAAGATTTTTAGATGCACTACAACACCTCACCCTTTTCTGTTATACAAAAATGAGAAACATGGATTTGAGTAAGAGGTAGGTTATTTCTAAAAAAAGGAAACAAAAATTTTTTAAAACATATTCACAGTTACAGTATGCAGGTCAGAGGCTAGAGAGGTTTCTTCTTGCTCTCTTCAGCGGCGTCTTCTCTTGGAAGCAACAGCCACTTGCTTCTCTTCTCTTCTTGCTGGTGCTGGATTCTTTGGAACAAAAGGTTTTACCCATTTCTGAGGAATCCATCAGGGGCCTGAAGGGGTGGATACACACGCGTAGCCACGCCCCCAGGTGACAAGTTCATAGGGACCCTTGGTTTGCCAAGTTTCAGGGTCCCTGATTAAAACCGGTGGATGCTGTGACAATTTAAACTGATCACCACTGTTAAAATGCCGAGTCACTGGAGGATTCACGTTTTCAAATGAGTTTAGGAAGTTAATGGTAAACAGAGCTTTACAGAGTTTCTGTTGGGGAGACATCCACACTGCCTCGCTACCTTGCCTGGCTAGGACTTGTTTGAGCGTCTGGTGTGTACGCTCGATTACAGCCTGACCTGTGGGGGAGTGGGGGATGCCAGTTTTATGTTCCACTCCCCACTGCTGGACAAATTCCAGGAACTCCTTGGATTGATACGCTGGGCCATTATCGGTTTTAATTTCTTTAGGGATTCCCAATACGGAAAAGGCCTGCACTAAGTGTTGTTTAGCATGCACAGACTTTTCTCCTGCATGAGCAGAGGCATACACCGCTCCTGAGTATGTATCAATACTCACATGTACATACTTAAGGCGGCCAAAACTGGGAATGTGAGTGATATCTGTTTGCCACACCTCACAGCTCTTAAGGCCTCGGGGATTAACCCCGATGCCTAATGATGGCACTGCCTGGAGCTGACAATTGGGACAGGTAGCCACGATGGCTTTAGCCTGATCCCGTGTCAGCTGGAACTGACGAATCAGTCCTGGCACATTTTGATGGTATTGCTGGTGACTTATTTTTGCCTGCTGAAACACATCTGGGAGACATACCTTTTCAGCTGGGGCAGCAAGGGAATCAGCCTTCCGGTTCCCCTCAGCGATTTCACCTGGCAACGGGGTGTGCGATCTTATGTGCATCACATAGAAAGGTTGTTCTCGATTTGAAACCAAATCAATCAGTTTTGAAAGCAATCTAAAGAGATGCTTGTTCTCAATGTCCTTGAGAACTGTCTGTTCCGCTCTGGACACCACTCCTGCTACGTAGGCTGAGTCAGTAACTAAATTAATTGGTTCTGAAAATTTCTCAAAGGCTCTCACGACCGCAGCCAGTTCAGCTATCTGGGGTGACCCCTCTACAAACTCAACATCAGCTTCCCAAAGCTGAGTCTGTGGATTTCTCCAAGTCATCACCGACTTGTGGGATGTCCCAGATGCATCAGTGAACACTGTGAGCGCTTTGAGTGGCCTTTGGCTCCTTTTCTCATGAGGAATGAGATGGAATTCCTCATGAAACAATTTGTGTGATGGTGCATGAACTGAAATTTGCCCACTAGAGCTGTCCAGAGCTAACTGGAGGTTAGCATTGCTCTGCAGCAGATGCTCAAACATCTCTTTGGTCAGCCTCTCAGGGGAGTTTTTGCCTTCTCCAGAGAGCCTGACTGGGAGGTGAATACACATAAAGTCACAACCTGCCAGTTCCCGCAGCCTTACCCTGGCCTTTTGAATCAGCTGAGCCATCAGCTCTTGTGGCTTGGTGATAGTTTTGGGTCTTTGATGGGAGAGGAAGACCCACTCTATGATTAAGAGTGCATCTCTCTGCCCCTCGGCCCATTGGAATATTAACCCATGCAGGTGTGGCAATTTCCCCAGGACAATAAATTTGAAAGGCAGCTCAGGTTTGAAGCGGTGTGCCTGTCTTTCTGTCAAGGCCCTTTGTGCCTTTTCAATGACAGTTTTTGCTTCTGGAGTCAGCTCCCTGGGAGACAGTAATTCTCTCTCCCCTTTCAATAAATTGAGTAGGGGGCTCAGGTCCTCATTTGTGAGACCTAGCCATGGTCTGACCCAGTTTAGTGACCCGCATAGGGAATGGAGATCTGCTAGAGTTTTAGGATTACCAATAATTTCCAATTTTTGTGGAACAACAGTCCGTGCAGTAATTTCCAGGCCCAGGTATTTCCAAGGTGGCATCCTTTGAACTTTGTCTTCCTGCAATTGGAATCCAGCAGAGGTTAAAACTTTAACCACTAGGTCAAGGGTGTCTTTCAGTATGTTGTTATTGGGACAGCATATTAAAATATCGTCCCTATAATGCAAAATGATAGCCTCTCTCTTTTCAGCACGCACTGAGGACAGCAAAGACCCCACATACCACTGGCAGATGAAGGGGCTGGCTTTCATCCCCTGAGGTAATACTGTCCAGTGGTACCGTTTCATTGGAGCTTCCCTGTTAATTGTAGGAATGGAAAAGGCAAACCTTGGTGCATCAGCTGGATGCAGGGGAATTTGAAAAAAGCAATCTTTAATATCTACTACTGCTAGTAGCCAATCTTGTGGTAGCATGGTTGGAGATGGCATTCCTGGTTGGAGAGATCCCATGTCTTGTATTTTTTTGTTTATTTCTCTTAAATCTTGAAGGAGACGCCATTTATCTTTCCCTGGCTTTTTTATTAGAAACACCGGGGAACTCCAAGGGCTGGTTGTTTCTACTATGTGTCCTTTAGCCAATTCTTCTTCCACTAATTTTTCTAGCGCCCCAAGTTTTTGTTTGCTGAGAGGCCACTGGTTTACCCAAATTGGATCATTATCTAGCCAAGATAATTTTTGGACCGGACGCTCTACAGTGGCCTCTATCAAAAATCCTGAGGTGCCTCAGGGATTGTTAGTTTTACCCCCCACTGCGACATGGTATCTCTCCCCCACAAGGGGCACTTGTAGTCAATAACAAAAGGTCGGACACTAGCTATCCTACCGTCCGGACCTTCGATCTGGATGATATCTCTAGCAATTTTTGCCAGTTTCATCCCTCCAACACCCTGTATTTTCCCTGCCACTGGTTGTAGGTCCCAATGTGAGGGCCACACCTTTTCCGGTATGATGGTCACATCTGCCCCAGTGTCAATTAACCCTTCTACATGGAGATGTTCTGATTTATGTGTTAAATTGCATCCCATAATGGGCTTGTTTTCACCCACTACTTCTGCCCAGTAGACTCCCGGTGCTTTGTCATCTACTTGGACTTCTGTTGGAACAGGGATTACCTGGGCTATTACTTGCCCTTTATCTACACAGAAAGGTGGTTGGGGGCACCTAGCTAAGAGGATGAGGTGTGTTAGGTCTCCCGTGATTGTCATGGGAGCCACCTCAATCTCTCTTGGTGTGTGTGCTGTGTCTCCAATAACAAAATACCTACTATCCAGTCCAGCCAGGTCTTGCGAATTATCCTGCAAATCTACTCCCACGACAGTCCAGCGGTCAGATCTGAAACAAAAAGCTTTAGAAGTTACAAGTCTGAATCGCTTTTGCGGTTGCCAGACCTTATTAGGCAAACATTCCTCACAATTATATTTTTGCAGTCTCCCACCCCGCTCCCTTTCCTCCCCTTTTCCCATTAAAACAGAGTCTTTTTTCTGCTGTTTCCCTTGTTGCTGGGTTTGAGGACAGTTCCTTGCAAAATGTCCTGGCCTCTTGCACTGGAAACAGACAATGTGCTGCAGCTGTCCTGGTGACATCTGTGGCTTGTTCATTCCTGGTGTCACTGCTGCTACTGTCCTTGGGTTGTCCGGTTTCTTGTTGTGTACACTGTACAAGTCTGCTTTCTGGGCACATGCTTCAATCATATCTGCTATGGTGGGTGGAGGATTGATAGGAAGACTCAGAATTACTCTACGACAAGCCTCGTTGGCATTTCTTTGGGCCATTTCTTTAAGCAGTTCCGTCTGGGCCACTGGTTCTTTAACTTGTCTCTGTATCTGTAGTCTCAGACGATCTACAAACTGTAAGAAACTCTCACATGGAAACTGATTAATACTAACATAACTGACTTGAATATCAGCTGTTGGTAATTGGTTAAAAATGTTTTCAGCCACATCACAAACTTTATCTGCAACAAACTTTGTTAATACTCTCACTTGATTGGCAGGATTAATCCAATTTCCCTCCCCACATAAATGTTCTAAAGTGATTTCATTGTTCTCTGTATCATGTGCATTTTGATTACTTTGTTTGAGTTCAGCTAGGAGTTTTGTTAATGATCTTTTCCATAAGCTTTCCCAAAGATCATATTCAGAGGGAGTTAGCAAACACCGAAATAAATCTTTAATATCTGCAGGAATTAAATCCTGTGATTTCAATGTAGTTCTTATTATTCCCCTTAAGACTTCACTATCACGACCAAAATAATTTTTAATTTTACAAATATCTTTGATTACTTGATAATTGAAAGGCTGATGTTGTAATCGCATTGCTGCTCTGCTGTTATTGTACACTACAGGGGCTGCTGTTAGCATAACTTCATCTTCTCCAGGGCTGGCATTCCCTGGGCTCCTCAGCCCGCCCCCGCCCGGCTCCGGGGTGCCTGTTCCTTCCCCACACCTGTGGAGAGACACAGCTCCTGCCCCGCAGGAGCCGGGCGGGGGGCCGCCCCCCCCCACGCCGGGTTCCGGGGTTCCCCCCCCCCCCACGCCGGGTCCTGGGGGTCCGCACCCCCCCACGCCGGGTCCCGGGGGTCCCATTCCCTCATCGGGCCTGTGGAGAGACCCCGCCCCACCCCTGCAGGAGCCGGGAGAGAGCCTGCGCCCCCGGGGGGCAGGGCCGGGACACCCCTCCCCGTGCCCCTCTGCAGGAGCAAGGGGTGTAACTCTCTCCCTCCCCACCCCTCCTCTCCGCGGGACAGGGGCCGGAGGGATAGGGGATAGGGTTACAGCCTCGGGGGACAGGGTCATAGGGTGGGGCCAGGCAGGGCTGGGGGGTGGTGCAGGGTGGAATGTCAGGGGGAACAAAGGGATTTTGATAAGGGTTAGGGGCGGGAACCAGTGGGTGGGAGGGATCATGGGTAGGAGAAAGGGGATACACAGGAGGATTCACCATGTGGCCAGGTAACACGTGGCCAGTGCCATCTTGGCTCTCAGCCATGTGGGCAAAGCAAGGTACATTTTCTGTAACACTGACAGGGTATAGGGAGGGAGCCTTGATGGCTTGTGAGGCAGGACTGGGTGACTGAAACAAACACACTGGATTAGAACTTGTATTGTTTGTCTCGAGTATCTTTTCCATTGGGGGAACAGAGGTTTTGGGGGAAAATTTAGGGAAGTTAGATGGATACTGCGGTGTTTGTTTGTCTTCCGTTTTTATTTCTCTGTTAACTAATTCTTTTCGAATTAAAAGAAAAACCGGGAGGAATTTCAGGGCCGATTTGTCTCCTCCTTCTATTTTTAAGGTTAATAAATTTCCAATTTCATCCCAGGCAGTTACTGAATCTAATTTCAACAATTCGATCTGTTCACTTTGCTGAGTCAAATATGATACAAACTGCTTTATCTTATGTTTTGAAATGTTTACGTTTGTGGTTTTTAAAAAATTCTGTATTTTTTGTGTATGACTCCTTTCTTGCGTGCATAGCCGGGATCCCATTTTGGAGGTCACAGCAGCTCTGCACACAATCTGTCTATTTTCCCTACCACAGAAAACAAAGTTGCACCAAAAGGATTACAATTAAACTCACACTCTACAGGCAGCAGGAAGAATTCCCTCTCCCCCCCCACCCCGTCTCTGCCCACGGCTGGGGGAACCTCACACACTCAGGGCTGCTGCCGCTGGGAAGGAGTTACACAGAACACAGTTCCCCCCGGGGCCTGTTTCACTCTCCACCCCTCCCAGCCCGGTGTCGGAGTTCAATCTTACCTTTTTCTGTCGTTTTCTGGCGGTGGAAAGACACTTGTTGCCCTGGAATCGGTCCTCTGGTGCTGGAGGATTTTCGACTCCTTTTCGGAAACTTTTTTTGCTGTATTTTTTAAACTGCATCCAAAGTCTCCAAAGAACGGTTCACCCTGGCTCCGACAAGCCTTTAACGTGGGCTTGTTCAGCCCCACGTTGGGCGCCACTCTGTTGCAATCCTTCTCCCCGACGGGACCCCTCTGTCCCACCCCCCGTGGTGAGAGCCTGCTCGTCTCAGGGCACAGGCGGCGGAGGGGGTCCTGGAGTGGATACAACACGGACTCAAAGTATCTAGACACAGGAGGCTCAAACTTGCTGGAGTAATCCCAGGTTTATTGTCTGTCGTCCATCCGGGGCAAGAGAGAGCACGAAATGCTCTGGGTCTCATCTCTTATACCAGGGGGCGGGGGTGATTAGGGGATGCAGGGAGGTCACAGCCAATGGGAAGGGGGAAGGGAAAGAAGGTTTTCAGGTAGGAACTCACATTACACACACCAGAGGTGAGTTTTACCCTTGGGAGGTACCAAGATTTTTAGATGCACTACAACAGTAAGACACAGAGCATGAGGTGGAACCCCTGCAATTTCTACAAGGTTAACCACTTCCACTCCAGTGAAAACATCATTATTTGATGGTTCTGTATACTAGATTTTTAAACATTGACAGTTCCACTAGAAATATATTCCTAGTTAGAAATAGGAAACCTACTTTCAAGCCATGATTTCAGAACATGAAATATGGTAAAAACTCTCAAAACCCTGCAGTTTCCATTGGTTTTTTTCTTGCAAGTTTTGCATTTTCTCTTTTTACTTGGGTGGCTTGCACTAGTCATTATCAATTTACTTGGCAGATTTCAAGAAATGGAAGGAAAGCTTACCCACTGACTTGCTCATTCAACTGTTCTTTTGTCCACCTAGGTGCCTTCACTGACCCGTAAAGCAGGAGATGTTCTCGCACAGTCAGTGTGTTGAATAGGACATCATACTGGAGGCAAACACCCAGCTCTGTCCTGATGGCAGCCAGCTCAGTCCATATATCCTTCCCATCAACAATAATGGTACCAGAGCTCGGTGGATACAGACCAGTCAACAAGGATCTTATATAAGAAAAGAAAAAAACATTCAGCAACATAACATGCAATTATCTCATCACTTAGATATCCTGAGGCAGGTTCTAGCATCCTTAGAGCAACATCAATTCAATTGAGTATAGTTATAGAAACATCACTAATATTTTGGGGTTGGTGTAGCCATTTTTTGCTTTTGGTGGCTTTTTGGGTTTGGTGGGTTTTTTTGGTTGATTGGTTTGTTGATGGGTTTTTTGTTTTGTGTTTTGAACATGATCTCGAGAGTTCTTAATTTCCCTTCTTCCAGAACAAAATCAATTTATTTTCCCAACCAAATCTTGTTGTAATGCATTTAGAAAAATGGTATAACCCAAGCTGTACCCCCAAAATTATAGAATGTAAGCTTCTCCCCCCTTATCTCTTTCTTCCCAGTTCTCCTTATTGGCTGTGTGAATACAATCCACCCTCTTTCCCTTGCCTTCAAAAAGACGTGTGTTATCAATATTCTTCCTCTTTCCCCCCTGCTCTCTTTCTCCATGGGATCCCAAGAACAAGAATAAAGCTGAACTTCCATCTCAGCAAGGAAAAGAGCCTCGGTTTAGTTCCTCTGTTCCATGCTATAATTTCTTTCCCGCCTCCCCGGCTACTGCAGGACGGGCAGTGGCTATAGAGAAGCAGGGATCATATAGAATTATAGCAAAATCTAACAAGTTATTATTTCCATCTTCACATGGGTGTTCTGTGAGGAGTATTTCCCAGTTAGGTCCCATTCTGCATTACTGGCTTGATGAAAGCTGATCATAGCTAAAAGAAATGTAGAAACAAACTTCTTAGTTGAGACATTTTTAAAGATAATTTTTTAATTTCACTACTTTCATTTCTGGTCAACTGCCAAGAAAAAAGTACCCTGCAACCTCTATGGACAAGAACACTATAAAACTCTCTCCATGTGATGAGTATATATAGGCTGCCAGAAAAGAACACTCCTTCAAGATGTGTTCAACTCTACAACCAGACATACCCAGATCCTACTTAAGCTGTTCCTGAGATATCACATCACGGTTTAAGTGGCACAGTGGACTCAGTTCTCTACTTATTACACTCCTTTTATCATAGATATGTAACCTTCATTTTCCATGTGTTTTGAGTAGTGTATCAAATATTTATTTGGGGAAAAAAAAAGGCACAGCAAATAGTTCACAAAATTTTAAATTGAAAAAGCATAGCAGAGAACAGAGCGTATAGCAACAGCTTTAAAAGTCAGACTTACATAACTGTTGACTTTCCAGCTCCATTAGGTCCCAAGAGTGCTGTTATCTGGCCCTTATGGAAAGTGAGGTTGAGATCTTTAACAGCAGCCTTCTGACCATCCACGTGCTCTTTGGTAAGAAACAGCAGCACAACACCAATGGTACCTCTTTCAGTGCAAGGGACTTTCCAACTCTGAGGTTTTCTTGCCTGGTCTGTGTGGGGAAGAGTAGCAGAACAAGCAGGTTGTTGAATCTAAATGTGTATGTGTGTGCATATAGAAGGAATACCAAAATAACTTAACCTCTGCTACCATTTACCAAACAGATGTTCAAATTGTCTGAACTGACACAAACTACACTGAAATGAAAGATACCATGCCAATTAATATTTACTAAGAATTTGGCCCATTTGCAGTTTTAAAAAGCGACCTATAAAAGTTATGCCTAGTTATATGCATGTCTATATATGTCTTGATAAAGTCATAAACTAGTTGCTGTATTTTATTTCTAGTAAAAAATAATAACATTACTTGAATAATTTTTTTATGCCCATAAGCATTAGGAAATTGTAACTGTGTAAGCTACTTCATGTATGTCATCCAGTTTCAGGCTCACAACATTGACGTAACATTCACAGGCTTAGGCAGTTAATCTTCCCAATTCCCTTCAGCCAATTAAACAAAGCAGATCTCTGAAATGATTCAGAGCAGCAGCCTAGTTTAAGCATTCAAGGTGCTCAAGACAAGCAGATATCTGACAGTCTTCTAACTGTGAGGCAATATCCTCGGGAAACTGAGATGCCATATGACACAAATGAAGTTGCCTTCCTTTCCATGTCAGGTTTGTACTACTTTCCAAACATGAGCATAGTCAATCAGCAGCCCCATTACATGATTACTTTTAATACTTTATTGAGTCATTACTACTGAGAGATCTAGCAGTGAGTTAGTTTATTTTCTTTTTAAGGAAAGGCAAGCCAGATTGGAATATTAATCTAAAGAAATAAAATTTTATGCCAGAGAATTATGAGAAGAGATAATTATTGTTATGAATATACATGTACATAAGATATTTATGATTTATAGTTATATTCTTTACAATAATTTTATGTAAATAACATGCAAACATATCAAGAACTGAGAACTATCCTATACATAAAAAGATGGAATCATATAAATCAAATTATAAATTTTAAAAATACATAATTATTTTAAAGATTGGTTTTTTTACACTGTGAATGAAGAAGTTGTTTTGCTGCTTTCACACTCAATTTAAAGCTTCTCGCAAAAATTCCTTCTAAACTTGAGGTCACTTGCTAGCCAGTGACTACCAGCAAGGTAGCAAGCAAGCTAGCAAAGTACTACTAGCAGTTGTGACACTACTGAGATCTACCTCTCTTCCAGGTACCTTCCCTGCTGTTTCCTAAATCTGCATACTTTAACAGAAAAGCATTCAAGTGCAGAGGCCTCAGACAATGTAGCTCAAGAAAGACTCAGACGGAGAGCTCCAAGTTATTTGCAAGCCTGCAAATTACCCTGGGATTCTCCAAAGGGGAACTCCATGTGGGTATGCAGCACCCTGGTCATTGCCAGCCCAGCTGTAGTTGTAGTTCCAGGTGGTAGGATCTATACTCCCAGGTCCTCCCTCAGACACCTCTGATTTCCTGAATGAACTTGGGACCAGCCCTTACCTGGGTTATTATGTAACAAGTGAAGAAATTGCCTGGAAGCAAGTCACTTGGCTGTTCCAAGAAAATTCTTCATGGCTGCAGTTATCCTATTGTCAGCACAATGGCACACAACTCTTTTAAAGGACAATAAGTTCCTTTGCTGCATGACAGTTTTAGCATTCACACACAGGCAATTTGCTATCAACCACATAACATGAAGAAAAGCGACCCACCAATCACTTAAATAACTTGATCCAGAAACCACACTAATAACTGGTAAAGCGAGAAGTCTTTGTTTTCCACAGATTATGTGGTGAATCCAGAGGGAAACACTGGAAATCTTCATTTTATATAAGGGCCAAACACAATCATCTTAACAAAATGGAGTTGTTCCAAATTGCAGAGATTCAGACAAAACTCATACAAATAATTTTTCCACAAGTGTTTAAATTAACCTCAGGACATTTTGAAGTCTGCTCTAAGCTGGAAGACAACTGTATGTAAAACTGCTGAATTGTTCAGCTTCTTCACCTATGCTACAGACAACTGGATCATTTCTAAGATATTGTAACTTCCCAAAAAAGCACAACCTAACATGTTGTTCTAAGGCCCAAGATGGAATACAGATGAGAGTGACCTCTTCCTTCATTTCCAAACACTAAACTAAATGTAGGAATGTCCTTAAAGGGACTGGAGATGGGGGAAAAGATAAAAAAAGCTGAATTATTTGTAAGCAAGTGAGTGTACATAGTAAAGTAGTGAAATTAACTGGAGGCCAATAAAATTTAGTTACGTAACAGCTTTCTAGACAAAAGGCTAAGAAGCAGACACAGAAAGAGCAGTGATTATAGAAGTGGGAAATTAGAAACAGAAGGGAAAGAAATTAACAAAGTTAATTTTTCCACTGAAACAAGAAACAAATTTTTAAGAAGTTAATAAAGCCCAAGATGTTTCAGATTCAGTAAGAATATGAAAGGGATCAGTGAACTCCAAAAGATCGAAACAAAGCAAAGAGGGAAAACACTGGGACAGGATGAACCCAAGAGATACTTATTTTACATCTTTTAAAGAGCTTTCTTAAATATTTCTGTACAATAGCTTTCACAGAATGAATACAGGGGGTAGCAAAATGTAACAGTTACTATGTAATAGTCATAGTATATACTATATGAGGAAAGAGAGAAAGATCTAAACATATAATACAGGACCAAGCAATGATAAAAGCAGATTGACATGACTACCACACCATTCAGAACAAAAAAAACCCCAAACCATTGTTCAAATTCTATTAGTACAAACCTTTTTCTTGGAAGTTTTCATTGAAGAAAAACATATTAGAATTCAGATAATGTCTCTTGCTTCTCTCTGTACCACACAGGTTCTTCCAATAGGAAACAGTAAAGGGAAAGTACCACTGGTTCTTTAATCCAAATTTTCCTATATTAGAATTATGATATAAATTGTTGGAAAATTTATAGTCATTTTGCATTTGTATGTAGACTAAAAATGTCCTATTATTGCTTACAATGAGCTGGTTAGGCCATTTAACTAGACCAAATACTTTTCTCTGCTTAAAAGTTTTAATAAAGTATAAAAAAAAGGCATGTGGTCATAAAACCAGGTTCTTCCATAAAATAATCAAGCCTAAGTGATGCTTTATCTGGTCTCTAAATCAGCATCAAAGTGTAACAGAATCATAGACTTAACAATCTTGTAACCTATAGGGAAGAAAATGCACCAAGTAATCTGCCAAGAGAAAGAGCCTATTCTTTTAGTTATAAAAATAGTCCATCACACCAGTTCTACCATTAATATCTGCAAAATGCAAACAAATCAGCCACCATAAGAAACACTTTCTGTGGCATGTAAACAAAAAGGCAAAACCACACTCTTCTATACAAACTAATCTTTGGCATTGCCTGATCTTTTCAGGCATTACTTACCCATCACACAATACACACTCTGTTTGAAGTGTCATTATATTGACACTGAAGGGCAAACGTCAATTTAAGACAAAGTTTCCAAAATTCAGTTGCATATTTCACCAACCCCTATCTTTCAAGGCAAAATTCATGTTAATTTAAAAAAAATAAAAAATACAAATTAGCCAGAAGAAAAATTGACATAGGCAAATCAGAGGAAAGGTAAATCATCAGAGGAAAGGTAAAACATACAGTGAGGCATGAAGCTATGATTAAAAATACATCAACCTACTCAATAAGACTTTTAAAACTTGGTTCATGAAAAAAAAATTAAAAACCACACCACAACTTTCTGAAAATATACTTGAAAATCAATTTGTTTTCTCTATGCATTGGACTGATAGGCAGCAAGATACAGTTACTGCACTGTCTGAAGTTTTTATGATCTGAAAACTTGCTATTATTCATGGGTTTCAGCCCAGATACTGACAGGAAATTCACCATTTTTCCAGGAAGTTTTGCTACTAGACAAGCTCTCTTACTGTGAAAATCCAATAAATTCCTAATTCTAACAAATATTTGGCCTACCCACCAGCAAAGAAAGGATATTTCATGCTGGCTACAAATTCTAGTCCATGTGTTATCACTAGTCAATATTTATGTATTAAGGAAGATGTTGTTTCCCAGTCCCTCAAGAAAGTCACACAGTTTTGCACAACAGAACCATACCTCAGAAAAAGACATATTTTTGGTTTTTTTGCAAAAACACAAGAAAGACAATACCACAATATATATTTCCTGTGGTGGCTGAACTGTTTACATTGTGAAGCTATTAATGGATGAATAATACTAAATAACTTCCTCAAAAGCATGAAATACGAACAAGCCCATGATCTTACCAGGAATAATATTGCTGAAATACCAGCCACCTACAAAATATAAAATGGAGTCAAAGAACATCATCCAGCACATCCATCCAAAAGTCATGTATCCTCCTTGTGCCATTGACTGGTGCACATTATCCCACTGAATTCCTGGTAGTAATAATAATAATGTTTTTTTTAAAGGTCAAAGCTAAATCAGCACAGCATTAATATCACAAACACATCAACACCACATACTTCTGGATATTTAAGCACTGGCACTTGACAAATCATAGATAACAGTAATCCAAATTAACAGAAAAAAAATTCTATGCCTCTACAAGCCTGTGTTTCAAGCAGCAGATGACACTGCTGCTGCGAAAATGAAGAAAAGTAATTGTAGAAAAGGCTGTTTATGAAGTGGCCCTTAATTTGGAAAAAGTAGAGCTACAATACTAAAAAAATGGAGCACTGACCAATGAATCAGACTTTAAGCCACTCTGATGATAAAAGGAAAAGGATTACACCAAGTTTAATATAATTTCTGTAATGCTAAATCTGAAGATTTAAATCTATGAATTCTAACTAAGAAGCATTGTGAACATTGACTGCATTCAGAGGTAAACCGGAATGAACTCACAGAATAATTGCTTCGTAAAATTATTATATTGCACAAGATATGAAAGGAAAAAAGAAGGTGCAAACACTAGTGCTACAGAAAGTTACCATAGTGCTAAATTGAAAACGAAAGTTGTAAATTTATCTTAAAAATTGCTTTTATTTTTTTTACTGAAAATGCTACTTTGTTTGCAGTACAGTGGGTCATGATATTGCTTCTACACTTCTTTCTCCAGGAATTGTCAAGGAAAGTAGCTTTTCCCAAAACACATTTTGCCCTTCCTTCAGTAAAGATGAGTGATTTTGATGAAGCATCTGAAACTTAAGTAATATTTTCTGCAATTGTCTCTTCCACTCTTACAAACTGTTGTACCATTATGATACATTTTCAGTAGTTTGAAACATCCACTGTCATCAATATTGGTTTTACCATAATAATAAAAAAAAGGATTATATCCCTTTAAGTACCTGAACTTGATCCAGCTTATTAAATCACTAGAGATTTTTTTCAGAACAGATTGAAAAAAATTTCCAACTGTAGTTTTTGAAATAATAATTACAAAGCTTTTCTCCTAACCAAAGAGCTTACCTATTTCTTGGCCCTCAAAATACGTAATGAAAAATATTCCTTGCCCAAAGGCGGTTGTAGAAAGAAGACACTATAACATCAGAGGAGAAAGAGTATGTGAACATCAAATAAAAACATGTTGTTAAGAAGTTCCATGAAAAAAATATATTGTGATACTATGATCAAGCACAAACTAAATAGACCTTATTTTTTTCCTCCACATAGGCTAATGGTTGCTATTTAATTTTATGTTTTAACCACATTCCCCACAAAAAACCTTAGTAGAATTTGCTCCACCAACCTAGTACTGTGTTATTTTATCTGACCAACTGACATTGAAAAAAATAAGCATTTTTAAAGTGTATGAATTACTCCACCAGCTTAATTTAGTGAGTTATTTTGAAACAGTGAAGCTATAATGTGTGAAATGTGATTTTCTTTATATGATGGTGATATTTGATGTCACATTCTGGGATACAGTATGTTAGGAGAATACAAAGACATAAAATAGGCTATGGAATACATAAAACAGGAAAGGACCTGAAAGAATCTACACCGAAGAAACATATACCTCAGATTATATGGTTGGACAAATTTCTCATCTATTCTCCAATTGTATTAACATAAAATCAATTAATTTTTTTTCAAACTAATGACTTTGAGAAGTAGCATGCCATCAGCTGATTTTGAAAATACATTACTATTAGAAATATTTTGGTGTTAAGACATGAAGAGAACTCATGAATATGAGGAATGCGACTTCCTAATATTTTCTGTAGGTTTACAAAATTGCCCTGACAATTTATTTTTCATTCCTTTCTACCTTCTAAATATTTTCTCAGGTGGAAATTTATTAGTGTGATTTATTTCCAATGATCATAAAAGAAAACAAACATTGGGAAAAATAAATACATTATGGTCTGAAGTTTTGAAGTTACAGAAATTCACAGCATAGTTGGAGGAGAAAAATTAGAAAAGAAGAAATATTTACCATTGTAATCTGGTTGGTGAAACTCAGCTGGTTCTGCAAGACCAACAAAACTATGTAGGGTAAAAAGCTGGTCATATAGACAAGGCTGGAACACAGAGCTGCTGTATTGGCACTGCTGAAAAATGCTCCCAAAAAATAGCTTAACATGATAATTGCAACTCCAAATTCCAGGAGAAAAAGGAAGATAAGGAAGCCATTGCTATAGACAAAGATACCACTTGCTTTTAAAATGAGGGCCAGAGCACAACTGCTTACTGTGAGCACAATGACATTCTCCAAAAGCAAGCGAAGAAATGAATGACTGGATACACACCCATTGTCTTCATATACTGCAAGACAACATAGCAAAGAGAGTTAAAGTAAGGAAACAAACTTTGTTTTTGTTTTTCTTTTTTAAACAAAACATGTTGTCACCAAAACATTACCAGCTTCCCAAAGGATTTCATCTTCCCCTTAATTTTTTTCTTTCTTTGCCCTTGTCCCGTGCTCTGTCCTGCATCAGACATGTTACTGAGCAGGGCAGTCTCTGAGATCATCACACATCAGCACAAGGAATCACCAAGCTCAGCAAAACTCTCTTTTGCATAGGGTTTCAAGAAGAGATGTTAGATTACTGGTTCTTCCAGTGAGGAGTTTGCCTTTTTATATGCTAAAAGGTACTGAGAATATCCAGAGCAACGTATATACAATTTTTTTTTCCCAGCCTGTTGTTCTTCTGAAAGAAACATAAAGTTTATAACCTTATGCATTACCAGGCAAATAATAATAATTTAGCCAGGTATGAAGTACATCCCTCTTTTTCTAGAAAAATGCTTTTGGATACAATCTAATAAAACCTCTGAAGCAGTTCTCATAAGATCACCAAAATTAATATTCTCTTCATTTAATATTTTGTAGCATTAAAACGTTTATCTTACAACAGAAAGATCAGAGAAATTAGATAAATTCTCAGTAATTCCCCAAATTAAAAATTTTACTCAAGCAGTTATTCTGTTGATACAGTGAAATAAGTGTAATTCTTTGAAAAGTGTATTTATCTCTATAGAAAATGTATCACAAGGACCCTGTCCTTCCAAAGCACCTGTGAAGACTAGCTGTTGATAGAAGCAAATATTTGTCTCTTTTTTCTTTTTATGATAATTACACAGTACATAACAAATTCTCAACTTATTTTAGGTAGTTTTATCATTACAGACTACATAGAGCAAAATTTGAAAAAGAACCCAAAACAAAAATCTTTCTATTCACAAGGCCTTTCCAAATAACACTTCCAGCTTCAACTTTTGCTTGTTGCTTTTTGTCGTATGGACAATATTTGCATACTGATGCTCAAACAATGTTGTGAATCTGAGTTGGCAGCTAGAACTAGAACCTATTGCCCAGGGGAAACAGGTGAAAACAAAGCCATCTGGATGAGTACTTAAAAGTACCTCACAACTTCTGTATTTCAGTGCACTTAAATGAACAAATTTTCTTTTCAGAAGTTAATCTGCCTCGTACCCCTTCAAGATTAATTTCTCTTTCATAAACCAGCTTGCGAACCATAGCAGCAACTGAAACCACCCATGTTAACATCATCATAAGTGGAAAAAAAATCCTATGTTGTTCAAGAATCTATGAAAAAACAAATATGAAGAATTGTCAGCCCATGAAGGTAAACCATTTTCAAGCAGAATGTTAATAGGTTAATACTGGAGCTGTTCTCAAAATATGCACAAAATAAGATCTGACATAAGCAATAGGATAAATTCCTGTTCTGGTTAGAATTATTTATTTTTTATGTATGCATTTTAGCTTGTATACATTTACAAGCTAAATGTATGTATTGGCACTGTATTATTATATCATAATTATATATGACAGTGTTTTAAACTATAAACTGATATAATTACTCTTTGGGGCTCCATTCAAAGTCAAACAAAATTCAGATTTTTGTCAATGGCAAAGTAATATATTTGGGCAACGACGAATAACATGACCCAGTCAATTTCTACTCCACTTTAACAAATTTATTACCATTGACTAATTTTAAAATCTAATAGTTGGGATGTTTTGATGATTTTACAGAGAACAACCCTACACTTTTGCTTCCTCAACTTCACCCTTCAAGGGATCAATTTGTAGTTTGTGTACAGGACAACTAAGGATTTAAAAGGGATCTCTTAGAATAATCTAAGTTAATTGCACACTATGTTGATACAGCCTCTGTCCAGTAGACTACTTCACATTATGGCTGCAACATTTTGTAAGAGATCATTTGCCAGACACTGTATAACATGTTATGTTAAACACAGCTGTTAGACAGTATTTGCTATGATGTAATACTCTGCTATTGGATATATTTGTTTAAGCCTGTACAGAGGTATACATTCACCCATTGAAAAGTGGGAACCTAGTAGGATCCCAAGTTCTCTAAAACTAATCTAACAAGGATAATATATCAAATTACAAAGCTGAAATTTTACTTACAGATCACTGGTATGACAAGGGTAAGGCATGGCTTGCACCTGAATTGCTGTCTCTGAGGTGTTTATCCCAGTCTGTGCTGAAATAATTGCCCCTTCAATCATGTCTTGAAGAGGGATGAAGACATGGTTGTATTTAAACCCATCTGCTGGCAATTTGTGGGGATGGGATTTCCATGCTGGGTTTTTTATCAAATCTGTTCTCATGCTGTAGAGAAAACTGGTTCTAATTGTATATGAAATGCGTCTTGGAAGGAGATTGCTAGAATCTTGTTTCTTGTCCTCTGGTGTATTGAAGATGACACCTGACAAAAGAAGAAAGGAAGCTTCTTAACTAAGCTTATATAATTTATGCTATTTCCATAGCTAACTCATGTCTAATTACCACATGATAAAGGATGCATTAATCTGTCAGGACAGGCCTCCAAACTTTCTTGATCCCAAGCCCAGAAACAGCAGGTTTCAGAGACACATTTTTCATGTTTATGAATATGAAATGAAAAAGATTATTCACATGATAAATGGGCTCATAAAAATAATTTTTATCTGAGGTGATTTTTCTTTTTTTGAACTGCAGTTTTGTTTTTTCATTCACATTTACCCCTTTCTGGGGGACTGATATCAGTTCCACAGTAAAAGCAGCAGACATAAAATTTGTGCATCAAAGGATAACAGCTTCCATAAGTGAATGACAAAGTAAAAAGTACCAATCCACTAAAATTTACACTGATACTCAAGTCAATTGCAGACTTGTTTAGCACAACAGAATTTGCATGTTTGTTTTCTCTAGCTCTGCATAAAGGAAAAATACCCTAACAGATGAAAGTTTAATATGTAGCTGTAAAGTTGAAGCCAAATACAAGAAATTGCTTGTGTTCTCTTTTTGTGTGACCCAGACTTTTAAGGACTTCTGGATAAATGCTGAGTGTGGCCCTTTTCTTCCTTGGGAAAAGGGAGAGATATCTAATTACCCCATCTGGTTCTCTGAAAGGTAATAAAATACAGGATAGTTTACTGCAAACCTGATTTCTTTCAACTGGCTAATCTCATTTTCCTGTTTATATAAACAGTTGATTTTCTAAGACATTCCAGGAAGCTACGAAGGCTCTGAAGACTACAAAAAAAAAGAAGAAAATTCTATTCCAGTTTAACATTTGTCCATGGAAAGGAATGTATACCTACATCAGAGAATGTAACACTGACATGTTGGACACATTAAGTTCCTTAAAACACCATCTTCTCTCTCTCTAATGTGAAGAGATAATGAGGCCAGAGTACTGAAAAATACTCACACAAAATGTCTTGGCATATATTAGCATATGGCCTTCCCTAGATAAGTGAAAGAAAAATAGAACTAGAATTTGATAATTCAGTTTTCTGAGGGCCAAGATTTATCTGTCTTTCCTTAAACAGTTTGCTTCCTCCAAAGTACTCCTGAGCAATTTTCCCTGTGTCAAAGTATGGATGCTAACTATGAAGCAGGGAGCACAGTGCCTGTGGAATACCAGGCCGCATAACTTTCTCAGTCTCGCCTGAGAAAGTGGCCTGGGAAATCATAAGGAGGAATTAAAACAATCCTCAGAGATAGAAGACCACCTTGCAGGTGCTGTGTGTCAGTTTCTTGTTTTCTTACAAGAGAAGGTCAAGGGGTGACCACTGACCAATGATGGTGATGTGTTAGTTTACTAACCAATAAGAGTTTTACTTTTCTGTACTTTCACGTATCGGTCTATAAAAGAAGATCTGAAGTAATAAACCTGAAGAGAAAGAACTCTCCTGTTCAACACACAAGAGAGTCTGTGTTGTTCTTCTCGCCATTCCAAATAGAGCGACATCAAGATATGGCCTATTTATTTTATGTTGATAGAGGGTGGCAATTGCCAGGGTACTGTGCAGATCACAAAACTATCAAGGGATTCCAGACTGAACAGTTTTTCCTTCTTTACAACTGCTTTCTCATGTCTTCTATTGTACACTTATGGGCATAAGGAGGACAAAAAAACCTCAAAATGACAGTGAGAAATGTTGTGGAATGCTTTTTATAGACTTAAGGAGGCCTCTCTTTTGGAAACACTACATGCAACATAGAGAATTTTCTTCAAGTCCAGTGTGTATGTTAAGGAAAATATTCTTGCATTTTAAAATCTTTTTTAAAATTAATCGATTCTCAGCAATAAGCACATAAGCATAGGAAAAAGAGAAAAAGTATAATCTCAAGGAAGAAATTAAATTACTTAAGAACTTATTTACTCTGAATAAACAAACTCTGGGGTGTTTAAGAGTAAATCTTAACAATTCCCCTTTATTTCCTCCCTCAGTATTCCACATTTTTTTATCTTTTTCTTCTTTAAATAGTTATGACCATTCTTTCAACCATTTTGATAGAAATAAGAGACTCCAAGGATTCTTTTGGCCATCCCACAGTTAAAACAATAAAATTAGTCTTTCCACCTTACATTACAGCATTCAAATGTGCTTTATGTTGACTGTATTACATGTGATTTAATGCACAAAACTACAAAATCTGAAATTTTCTAAAAAAATGTAAAAATACATTTTACAAAAAGTACTTACTAGCCAAAAGATTATTTTCCTGCATGAGTTCATGAGCCTTCTCCTTCAATTTCTCTACAGAGTCAAAAGGCTGGAAACGGTCCAGCAGCACACAGGAAGAGATATTTACAACGAGCTGTGTCAACAGGTCAATCTGTTTACTTGCTGAGCTGTTAAGCATCTTGTTCATCAGTTTCTAAGACAAGGAAACAAATTTGACTTAGTTTTTATGATCAGAACAGAAAGCTGTGTTGTCACTTGCACATCCCATAAGAGTAAATCCTCTTTGTATTAAGAAAAAAAGTTTTTAAAAATAGAAATTTTAGTGTGAACTTGTAGAAGTGCAGTTCATGTTTCAGTGGCTTTTACAAGCCCTCAGCTACTCTTTCCTTCCATTCAGAGTACTAAAAATAAAACAAATTCTAGCAAAGTTCTAGAAATAGCCCACACCCTTGAAGCTGTAGGACTTCTAACCTTTTCTTATGTTTCCATAACCACTCCCTCAAATACAAGGGAATTACTGTACTTCAGGCATCATAATATATATTAATCTCTCATTTAGCAACATATTATCCAGTTCTTTTCTCCTTGATACAGTGAATATTTCAAGAACCATGTTATATAGAACATAAGCATTTTGACAGGAGTTGTACATGCTTTTAAATGTAAAAAAAACCAAACCCTAATGATCTCTTCATTTTTACTTTATCTATGGATCCAGGATAAAAGGCTGGTTTCTAACAAAAGTCAACTTTTGGAGGAATTCAGATCTTCATCCATTGGTAGAGAATGTAGGGATAATGCCATATCCTTATGTTTGAGAGAATAATTATAAAAGATAGCATAATCTAGAAACAATCTTAACCCATCTAGATTTAATAAAAATATCTGAATTTCTCAGGTAATAAACAATGCTATAAAACATCCAACACAATTGTCCATCTTAAATTTTTCAACACTCACTTGAAGACATAGGCTTTAAAAAGGATAGGTAATGACCTCCTATGATAACAGTGGTGACAGACAAATCCTGGATCATAGACATTACTCAGCATCAGCGAAGGAAATATTACAGTAGGAAGGCAGATAAGTGGAAAATGTATGAAGCAGTCTGAAGAAGAGGCATGATTAACAGTGACAAAGGGTAAAGTGCACAAGGAGAAAAAGTAGAGGAACTGACACTCTAGAAATCGAAAGATAGGCAAACAATGACAGGGTGAATTCATAGGTATGGAGAAACCATAACTGAATAGAGATAATAAATGTCTTATTTATGGCTACACTTGAAGAGTACAATAAAGGGAAAACCTATGCTGCCCCTTTTTTATGGCATTAGAGAGAAGAGAATAATCCTAACATTAAGCCCAAATGGCAGGGTTGTCATATATATCCATATATATTTTAGATTACATATTTAGATACATATTTACATATTTTTAGAGATATATATAGCCCTATATACCTTATTCTCTATGAAGACAGGCTGAGGGTTGTTCAACCTGAAAAAGAGAAGGCTCCAGACAGACCTTGTAGCATCTTCCAGATATTATTGTGGCCTGAAGGGGGCCTACAAAAAACCTGGGAACAGACTTTTTACAAGAGCATATACCAGTAGGACAGGAGGGAATGGCTTCAAACTGTAAAAGAGTAGGTTTAGATTGGAACAGGTTGCCCAGAGAAGCTGAGAATGCCCCAAGCCTGGAAGTGTTCAGTGCCAGCCTGGATGGTAGTCTGAGCAACCTGCTCCAGCGGAAGGTGGCCCTATGAAAGAGGCTCTGCCCAAAGATCCAAAGCTGGAGCTTCGGATGAAAACAAAAAAGAGTATGAGTGGGAAAACCAGTAACATGTATAAATTCAAGGTTTAATTGGATGCAAGCAAGGTAAGTACAGGACTAAACAGCTGATGCAATATAAGACTAAAAAATTTTTAAAAAAAAAAATATAAGAACAGAGGTTTACAGTTAAGTTGCACATGATTACGGTATAATAAAATGAACAAAAAGTACACAAGCTAAGATAAAAATAAAAGTGCATATCATTTTTCGAAAAGTAAAACAACCAAGTGAATCCATACAAAGAAGCGTAATAAATTCAGAGGAGTGCTCTGGCGCTTTGGTTTCACAAAGGCATAAATGCTCTTGTGATCTATCGCCCCTATTGATTTTCAGTTTTAATATGATGTTAGCTTTAACAACTGCATTCCCTTAAAATAAGGAAATTCTAGTTTCATAAGCCACTCTACTTAAATCATCTTTTGTCTTGACCATCCAAACTATTAACCATTTATTACATACTATCAAATGTCCTTAGTTCTGTTAAAAAGCTATAGCTTGAGAAACAAAGGTACAGATTTCTTTGATGTTGTCTGCATGAGTGAAGATGGATCTGATAATTCCAGAGATCATGATATCTATTTAATGGAATATTAACATATCATGTCCATAACATATCATGTAGTTCTCAGTGTTAGGTCCACACTAAAAAAATCCAACTGTTACTCAAGTAATAGTTTGAGATAGCTATGTTTCCAGCATGTCATGAAGTTTAAGAGACATGCTCTTTCATCTATCCAATCTTTCCAGTATTGTGATTCTGTGGGCTTGGTTTTTAGTTGTATTACGATGCATCTTTGTGGACATGATTTCTGAGCCTGAGAGAATTTCAAGCTCTCAGGGACTGACTGTTCCCAAGGGAAAGTCTTGGGAATCTTTTCTCGCTCAAAGATTGTTTGTGTAAATAAGAGTTACTTTCCCAAAACAAGACACAGATGTTTTAAGAGTGTTTTCTCTCTTGTCCCACCAATAAGATGAGGAAAGTGTTGTTCCTTCTACCAATCAGGGTGACCTGATTGGAACAGCTTATATAAGGGTTGACAGAACCCCAAAATAAAGACTTCTTCGCCTCACGAAAAGTTGCTGTGTGTGATTTTCTCTGAACCCTCGCTATACTTCGAGTCTTCTAGCAACACATCTTCACCTCAACAGGGGAACTGTGCCTGACCCAGACTAGTCAGCAGTTCACTGTTTAAGAAAATAATCTGAAGAGAAAGAAGATTCAAATTTGAGTCCCTTGCTTAAGGAGGAAACAGAGCCCAGACTCTTTCCAATTTGAATTCCAGATGCCATCTGCCATTTTTCTTACTGAAAGTGCACAGGCAGTCCTAGTCTTCAAAGAAAGCCTTCAAACCGAGGCCGATTTCAACTAAATCTCACAATCTGTCTGCTAAAGAAAAGCCACACCAGCTCACACCAACTGTGACTGCACCAGCTCAGGGCAGTAGTACAAATTAGGACTGAGAACACACTTCATTTACAAGCTCCCAGGAGCCTCTGTGGATTTTGTCCATCTCCTGCCTAGAGGCAGATACTGAAAAACCAATAAAAGCTGTATTTCAAGTACAATTATTTATTTTAGCTGTAGTCTTAATTCTTTGACTGTAAAGCTGACTTAATGACCCACATTTCTGTAAAGTTAATTTTTTCAAGGCAATGAAGGTCACAAAGTCCTCTGTGGGGAAACCTGAGAGCTCATCATTGCCCTCCTCCAGAAAGTGACTGGAACAGATTTCGGTTTGGCTCATAATTATCCTAAAAGTCACTGACCAGAAACCATACAGATCTGTCTTTTTTACCACAATCCTCCTCTAGAAAGTACCCTGCTCACTTTGTCCATGATGTCACACTGTCTGTTATTACATTTTGTCCCAGTTTTCTCTCTTTCTGATTCTCAAAATCATGAACTTTTCTTAAATGACATTGAAATCTGCTTCAGTACAGAGTTTTCCTTCTGGCACATGCTGGCAAACATTTTAATGATCATGCACCTACCTTACTGACAGTCGGACATACTGATTTATTTTTTTCAATTATCAAATTCTTATAAATTTGTTAAGTAACTGAATTTACAGCATAATCCTTTCTCTTCTACTACTTAAAACTTTGAATATCCCAAACTGGCCAAAATAATAATTCCCCTTCTCCTTCATTAAGAATCATTTGCCTTGGGCTATCTATCTATCTATCTAACTCTGGAGGCTCTCTGACTGCCAGGGCTCACTATCAATGCAGAAAGTGAGCAGCCAGGGATGGCTGTGCCCAGGGGAAGTCTGCCAGGCAGAACAATGAATCAGGGCCACCCTTTTCCCACCAAAGCTGCATAGAGCTGGGACTGGGCCTGGGCCCACTCCAGGCTGCAGCCTGGATTTCACACCTGACTGTGGACCTGGGCCCACACTACTTCCCATGGGGTGGTGTTCTTCCCTCAACATTATCCCAATGGTCCCATTGGGCTATCCCAGGACTGGGGCTGACTCAGGTTGCTTCCTATTGACAGTGCAGCTCCCTGGTTATCACCCTCTCTCAGGCTTTTCTGAAGCTCAAGGACACCACATGCAAATGGCAATGAATAAATGGAGAAAGAAAACAGAGTTTTTGATCAAACACACTGTATCCAATCTCATTTTCTATTTATTTCATTCAAAAACTACTACAAAAACATACTTTTACCTAATGGAACTGTGGCAACTAGTTTTATATCTCCCTTTTATGTATGGATATGTTTGAGACTCTCACATGACACTTTCACTTCTCTTACAAATATTGTTTCACTATTTGAAATTCAAATTATCCAGTCACTCAAAAGAAAAAAGACAATTACATTTAAGACTAACTCAAGAGGGTAAAATCTCTTATTACTTTACTTAAATATCACTGAGGTAGGTAAAATATTCAATTTCAACTAAATGTAGTTCTAAGTTGAAGTCTAACAAGGTTAACCATTACATGTACTTTCATATACGTACCATATGCTTGCATTTTTTTAAGGAGTTTTTCCATGTTGATGTCCAAATTACTTTCTATGAAATGCTTTACAAAATTGTTTTTCAGTACTTCCTGAAATCAAAGGTGATAGATGTTACCTTAGGTTTATCTTCTCTAAGAAAATACAAAATATACACATGTATAAATGTTCAATTCCATTATCAGGATTTCCCGCATGACACCGCAGAAGTCCATTAGCTTCTCCATGTCTTCAGTCTTCTCCCTCTTAACAGGTTAACACAACACATTTCAAATAAATGGCAGGGAGGTGGGGAAGAGTTTTAGGGGAGGTGACAGGGGAAGGCACAATTATGTAGAATGGAAAAAACCCAGTAACAAGAATGCCTTTTTATTTTATAGTCAATATTTCTCTCATCAGTTTTTTTCATCAGTTTCACATTTTTCTGGCAAACATAAGCAATGAACAAACAAGTACCAACATAATTTTATTTCTCCTGTTCTTCATTGATACTGGGGCAATACTGGAGATAATGAGGCAACATTGCTTTTAAGTATTTTCATGTCATAAGTTTCTCAGCATGACTCTATAAAGCTACTCTGCCTCTTTTTCATCTCTGTTTAAATCTGAAGTAAGATATATGGGTAGTTTTGCATGTGTAGAAATACAGTCTAGATCAAACAGCAAAAAGTTGGAAAGCAGAAAGATCTTCCATCTCAAGACCAACCTGCAGTCGTGAGACTGTGAGAATATTTCCACTGGTTTTAAAAACCTCAGACATCCTAAGCCATGTCTCAGAATAAGACTTCAAGTTTTCCAAAAAAACAAAAGTGAAATTAGCCTGGGGAAAAAAATGCATGAAAACAAATGAAGTGAAACATGTGCACAGTAAATCTTAAGAAACAGAAAAAAGTGGCATTCTTTAGATCTTCTGTAACTACTTTCCATTCCATTTTGATAGTCATCATTAAGACTACCCATGTTTTCTTCTTTTTATCTAGGAAATTAAAAGTATTTTTTTCGATACCAAGCAAATCAGTTTTCCTGTGCTCTGTAAGTTTCCCACCAGAACTATCATAAAGACTTCTTTATTCTGTAGTCTCTTTCATAGAGAATGTCATGGGGGTGCTTGAGAAAGACAGAAAAAATAGTTAGGACAAACTCAAAAGAAAGCCACTCAGTTGTGCGTCTTTTATTCAAACTAGTTTGACTGAATACATAATAAAACTGAAATCTGGAGCCCAGTCTGGACAATAAATATAACAGATCAATCAATCTGTTTCAAAATACTCTCACAGGGAAAGACTTGAGTGAAGCAAAATATTTTCTGTCACAGTCAAACAGAGGTTACAGTTACTCTCTTAGTAAACAACCAGAAATTTCTTTTCCAGTCTGTTTTAAACTCAAGTTTCATATTCAAGATTAGAAAATATTGCAGCACCTTTTTGTTTAAATTGGTGTTATCAGTCACAGAAGTGTATTTAAGAACAATCCACCATAGCTATGATAAAAATTTTGAAATTTTCCAGAAAAGAGTATCTGCAGTGAGTTGTAAACTCCAATTTGGAACAACACTTTTTGCAATAATTCTTGTTGAAAGTATACAATTTCTGCCATATTATTTTTTAAGTGACTTTTTCAAAATCCCACTCTTAGCACAACATGAGAAAACAAGTTCTGGTGGCTCTTTGTAATACAGAACACCCTGAAGAAACCTTGCATGTAATTTTGTTTCCCTGAAAAACATTATGCATTTAACTTCTATGTGAATCTCTATTCTCCTTTAAAGAGTGATCATTCATTAGGATTAAAGAGAAAGTGATCCTGAATGTTGAACTAAATCTGCTGTCAAGTAGACTAAATAAGTTCTTCTGATCAGAAGTAATGCAGTAACCTCATGGATTGAAGCCTCCATGATGATGGTGACAAGATGAAGGAGACCAGGAAGACTGCAAGGGTGGCAAACAGGCAATCTGGGAGATTGCTTTCTCCCCAGAACAGAGCAACCACAGGTCACACCAGAACATAAGGAGATCAAACTTTCAGACACCACTAGAAACTATTATGCCAAGCAGCTTGTAAGATCTGGGCTCAGTAGAGCTTAGTGCTTCTTAAACTGGATTCTGAACAGCACAAAGGAATATTTTTTTGTGCTAAAATTGTTTTCAAAGAGCTACAATAACTATAAATATGCTTATATTCAATTCCTTATACAAAAAATAAAAAAACTAATTACTGCAGCAGCATGGATTTCTGGAAAAGATGAACTTTCTACAATGTTGTCATGGTTTTAGTTCTAGCTAAAAATCACTAGATGTGATGGAGTAATTAATTAATTAAGGGCAAAGCATGATTAAGTCCTAAGTTTACATAGTAGTAATAGTAAAAAGTCTAGGGGTGGAAGTTAGTGAATTTTTGTTTCTTCCTTTCTGTCAATTTAGTAGTTTTCTTGTTTTAAGTAAAGTTCATGTTGAATATAACTCTGATAGTTTTTAAAATAGGTGTTAACAGCTTGAAGGGGTCGATATTGTGATGGATTGGCATTTAAGAAACAAAGGGAAACACCTAAGGAAGTTAAGGCTGCTGGAGGCTAATGGGAGTTTTTCTCCTGGCCAAAAACTGGCCGTTTCTGAGAATTGACAGTAGTTTTGACCATTGAAAAGTGAGATCATCCTATGAACACCACCTTAAGACCTAAGCCCAGGAATTTCTTTTTCTCTCTGGTTTCCAGCTTTGAAGAGGTAACAGAGCTCTGGGTCAGCCTCCTTCCCCCCAGGCAAGACAAGGCAGCGTTCTTTGGGTCCCAGGGAGGATGGAGACTGTGAAGTGTCAGGAACCCCTTCTCAGAGGGCTCACTGGGCCTTGTACAGAGGGGCTGCCGGGCCAGGCCAGTCCCTGGCTCGGCTGCAATTTCTGCCGCTGCTGAGTTTCACCAGAGACTGCCAAGTAAGGGGAGGGAAAGCCATTGACCTGCGGCATGCTGAGATAGTGGCCACACTCCCATGTGTGCAACCATGGAAAATCTTCCATCACAAACAGCTCCAGCTGCTGCCCTGGCAGAGATCATGAGACCATCCACAAGGCCTGGGCAAGACTTTAACCCTTTCACTACCCAGATGAGACTTGCAGATTAATCCTTTTTTCCAGAGAGAGGGGAAGAGAGAGAGCAATCAACAAGTAAAGAGACAGCATAAACTATCAAAGACAGTGAAGAAAGGAATTAAGCCTCAGATGGGAAGAGAATAAGGAGATGCCTTAATAAGCTGAAATACTCTTTTGCTAAAGCTATGGAGATGGACAGTAGCGTTCTGAAAAAAACTCCTTTAATTCATGAAAGAGTATTTTGGGGGGAATAGAGTATTTCAAAGTGTAGATCTGAGCAAAAGCAATTCATCGAAAAGCTGAGTAAATGGTGAAGCAGTTGTGATCTTATGAGATGCTAGAACAGAAACAGAGAAGTGAGAGTTGTTGAAGATTTTTGGTCCTTAAGAAACAAAAAGAAAACTGCTGTTTCTAGAAATGATCACAGAGACAGATGAAGAAAATTTTTGCCTTTGAGTAACTCATCCTTAAAATGACACTCCTTTTTGACTCATGGCCCATGAGCACACCTCAGAGTGGTGTGAAATGGAGGAAAGAACTGATGGCAGAGTTGTCCGGGCAGCTGGCATCAGAAAAATAGAAAGCCATGAGAAAATTGTTTTCTTGTGAAAAACTCTATAGATTAACAAAAGACAACTTCTTTTTCTCTACAAAGACTGATGAAAAGACTATAGCAAAGCTGGGAATGTTTTAACCACCAGGCTTATTTTGTCTCTATGTTGTCATGTGAATAAGAGAATGGTTGGGTAGTGGGGAAAGAGGGTTTCTGGAGGTTTTATTCTGGTTTCTTA